ACCCATAGGTACCTTTCGGAAACCGCTGTATAAATGTGTAATGAAATTTATATAACTTCAAATATTATGTCACCGTATGAATTAAATATTTGGCGCATTTTCTGACAGATACCTGTCTGAGATTTTAATATTTCATGACGACTGTGTGCAGTGTAATCTTGGATGATAATCGTGTGAGAATTAATTTCCAACATATCCGGATAATAACTCTGCCGCCACCAAATGTTACTGCCTCTATTAACGTCCTAAACCCACTCTCCTTTTGGGCTTTAGAAGTAATGACTCTTGAATGCTTTATTAAAAATTAAGTCCGAGAGAAAATATTGTTTTAGCTAGACATTGACATTCTGTTTTTGTTGTAGTTATGTATTTACTTTTATTAATTATACGTCGTATAATTATTTAACAACATATTTGGACTAACTAACGTAACCTAGCCAAGATGATCCTTTCCTCCATGCACCAAATATGCGTTAATGGCAGAATACTCAGGGATAACCCATGACAAAAGAAAGTTAATTTGAAAGAGTTTCTAAAGGAGGAATTTTACAGTTTCCAAAACGTCTTTCTACTATATTGTTTCCTTCTTTTGTTTATCTTGGCGCAGTCCGTTTCATTATTTGCCTTTACTATGTTTAGTTCACTTTTATTGTACAAATTATTGCCATTTTCAACGTTTTTGTTTGTACTGTGCTATTATCTTTCATTTTGGTCCAACTTTTCATTCGGTGCAAACTCATCAGTTTCTACAGTAATTTAATTGAACGTGATTTCATACATTTTCTCCAGGATGTCGCATCTACTGAACTCAGTAGACACTTTCTGAAATCAGTATTGTATTCCGTAATGTTACAACAAAACATTCTTGTACACGGGAATGGATTCTGTATTTTTTAAGCTAGAGATAAACAAAAGATTCACATGAGACAAACGATTTTTTATGTCAAATGAAAGAGCAACTCTGGTGATTACAGACGGAATTAAAGATGTAAGAAAGGCTTTTGAAGCACATAAATATCAAGATGTATGACGAGAGGTGAAGAAATCGTGATGATTGGATGTCACGGGATTATATTTAGGCTTATTATCTTACTGATATTCTGACCGTACTTCTGATTTTAAAAAACATCGCGTGATCGGCGCATAAGAGCACTTCTACTGGCAGCAAAGAGTGGCATGCGTTTTTACATCGTGAACAAAGCATATCAGTTTTAGAAATTTTGTACGAACGTGGGTCACTTGCTTAAAATATCTTCACTTTGCTCTCTTACATAGATTGCAAAAAATGCTTACTTCCGTCCGCATATTTAATCTCCAAAATTATGAAAGGCGTTGATATGAAATGTGATATTTGGAGCCTCCACAGAACATGTTTGGAACAATTTAATTAAAACTTGAATCTGTGAAATGAAGCTGAACTGGGATTTTAAGCCCATAGATTTTGATAATCTATTTTGGAAATGTTATTAGACCAATGGGGTCGCAGTGGCCGCGCGGTCTTGTGCCGCTGGGACCGTGGGTTCGAATCCCACTCAAGCTATGAATGTTTGTCCGCGTTTTTCTGTGTCGTGCTGTCCTGTGTACAGGTAGAGGCCTTGCGACGGGCCGATCCCTCGTCCAAGGAGTCCTACCGAATGTCTATAGATCAAGCCAACGAAAAGTTGGGACCCGCAGTGCTCAGGCACTTGAAGAACGGGTCGTTCCCAGTATCCCAGTATTAGACCAATGTATTCTTCGGAATTTCCCTCCCCACACCTGTGAAAAATTCTTAACGTTATTACAAACTGCGCTATTATACAGTGAGTTCTCTGTCAGCATAACTGTGTCACAGGTTGGACGATTTGAGGGGAAATATCCCCTAATCTTCTGCCTGAGTGCATTCTAGGAAGGAAATGAAAACGCACTGAATGTGTCCTTTGTTGACAGATGCGCATCGGTCTACACACGGGGACAGTATTGGCAGGAGTAGTTGGTAAGAAGATGCCACGCTACTGTCTGTTTGGGCACAACGTCACTATAGCAAACAAGTTCGAATCGGGTAGCGAGCCACTCAAGACAAATGTCAGTCCGACCACATACCAGTAAGTACCACATCTTACCTTTCATGGTAAGGAAGTAGAAAAGTGCCCTAAACCTATGAGCGATGTAATTTCAAACCGTGTTCATTGCGATTTTATGTTCAAAATATTTTGGTCAGAAAACCTTAAGGGTAGAGTCTTACCCTTGTTTCACTCGGTTCATTCAGACAAATGCTCAGACAGTGTATTTATTCCTTCCAATTCCTCACAATTCACACGTCAGAATCACTCATAATTTATTTGATTCTACGCAGCTTTTTAACTGGGATTCCCTTTGATGAAATTTTTATTTTACTATACGCCGTTACATGTTACGTATTTTGTAACTGGTTACAAAAATATCATAGTGGACTGACTATCCATTTTATGCCTTTAAAATTGAACTGTGTAAACATACTGATTTCTTTGTCCAGGTGTTTGCAGCAGACTCCTGGTTTCTCCTTTGCTCCACGCCCAAGTGACTGTCTACCTGTGGGATTCCCCGCCCACATTCCAGGCACGTGTCACTTCCTGCTGGGATATCGGCACCCAGATCTCCCCGCGGAATGTTCATCCCTCTCTGAACACGTGGAAGCAGGAGTAAAGGATCTCGGCATATTCTCCACTCAACAATCTTAAACGTGCTCATCCAGAGGCCCTACAGCCATTTAATCCTTGCTTTTTTTCAGGGTGTTTTATTGAGACAAATCAATATTCATCTGCAAATCTAAACATTTACTCTTGACTGGTATTGCGTAACTGAAACTTTTTTGCAAATTAAATTTGGTTGTATTTTTGTTTCTTGGACTCAAACTGCAGTCTCATTTTGGAAGAAGTATGGTCTGAATCTGTATGATACTGATGATTGTCTTTACAGTATGATGTCATGACTTTATGGCTTTCATATTTATGACCTAAATTCCTTTATTGTTTTGTCACAGTTCAGATATGGCCCTCCCTTTTCGTGAAAGACAATTTTAACTTTTCTGTTGATCTTATTCTTATGTCCAAGTTAGATAATCTTTCAAATTAATATTTCCCATGCCACAGATTTGTTGCTAATAAAGAATAAAAAAGGGGGGTCTGCAGTGGCCGCACGGTCTGAGGCGTGGGTCTTGTGCCGCTTGGTCGCAGGGCCCTTGGGTTCAAATCCCACTCAAGCTATGGATGCATTCTTTCTTTGAATTTCTATGATCCATAGTGTCTGTAGCAAACTACAATCATAGAATCTGTGTAGAATATTTTCAATACACATAACCTAAAACCGTATGTACAATTAAACCAGATACCAGTCAAGAAAATGATGTTTATGAGAATGTGCATCCTACTTATCACCTCTGTCTACATCATAACAGCAAAATAGTGGTCTCAATATTCATGCAGAACCTGAGTGTACAGACATTGTGATAAGGCTTTATCTTTATGGTAATTTTCATAATGTAGTGATTGTGATTTGACCTTGTGAAACTCAGTATACATGGGTGATATGTGACAAACATACTCAAAAATCAAAAGGTTAAATATTCTGCTCATATGCGGTATTAACTAATTCTGTGTCCATTTAAACTTCAGACGCCTAAACCCATTCTTATTCTCCACAGTACAAAACAGAAGGAAAAAAAACAATATTCGTAAATTTATTAACCTTTAAAGGGTCATTATGACATTAACCAACATCAGAATTATTACTAGCTGACCCGGTGTGGAGTTGAAAGACACAGTGCACGTCACATCATATAAGATATAGGTCAGTGGTCCCCCAACCTTTTTGTGCCTATGGGCACATTTGAGAGTTTATGAGATCGCGGCGGGTACCAACCAATTAACAAAGCCAAATTTTCTTTTCTCTGGACAAATAAGATATGGACACCAAATAATACCCAAAACAACACGACGTTTAATGATATAAGAAGCTGTGCAATCAAAAATAGGTACTTCTATAAGTACAATTATTATTACTCAAGTGGGAAGTTAGTGCGATGTTTGGCGCTGCATTTCATCAGCCAGTTTTTCAAATTTGGGAGTAGGATGAAGTTGCTGCTCGCAAACAATCATCAAGATGGGCATCAGTAAGTAGAGGTCTGTGCTTTGATTTTATAATGTTCATGGTTGAACAGCCTTCATTGTTCAGTATAACTTCTTTCCGTAACAACGCATGGCACTCAAAAAAGGCTTTTGCGGGCGCCGCGTTGGGGATCACTGCTGTAGAAGAACGACCATGCATTAAAATCATGTATTGTAGTTTCTGTCTGCTCTTGATCTTCTTTGTATTTTGGCTTAAGATCTCTACCTTCTTTTATTGTGCAAATTTCAAGACAAACCAAAATAAAATTTCATATTATAATAATTGTAGCCCTTATATAGGGCTGTTATATGACAAGCATAATATCCTCCATAATGGCTCATATAGTGGTCTATATTATGATCAGAGTGATACTCTGTGTAATAGCTTTTCAGCCTATATATAGACCACAATTGTATCTACTTTAATGGCTTATAGTGAACTGTGTTATGGCTGGTATGGTAAAATCTATAAGAGCACAACTTGTGGGTTAGAAAGTTGCCTGCCTGATAGCTTGAATATGTATTAATGTTATGAACAGAATGTTACACTCCCTTATAGGTTATGTATTGAGCTATATCATAATCAGAATGGTACCGTAGTAGTACCATGGGCTATGTAATGACCAAAATCTTACCCACTGTAACAGCTTCAGTTGTGGGCTGTTATATCCAGAAATCTTGCTTGTATAATACATCAAATAGTGATCGATATTATTACCAGATTTTTACTGAAAGTTTAAAACATAGGCCATATTATGGTCAAAGTCTTACGTTATGCAAGTTTGTCTAGCGAGCTATATTATGATGACACTGTTACCCTGCACCTCATATACTAAGCTATACTACAACCAGCATATTTCACTCCTGAAATATCCTACAGTAGGCTACATTGTGCCGAGAATGTCACACACCTAAATATCTCATACTGTGAGCAGTATGAAAATCATATTGTTACCGTGCTAATAACTCAAGAGGCAACCTGTATTATAGTAAACATCGCACTCATAAATATCTCAGACAGTGGGCTATAGTGTTATAAACAATATATTGGCACTCCTGTAAAAAGGAAGATGTTTCGAAACCTCAATCAAAGCCTCGGACAGACAGACCTAACAGAAGAAGGTAGCGGAGGATAGGACCGAATGGAAGAGGAGAATTGAGGAGGCCATGTACCGAATACGGACCAGATAGCCATAGAAAGAATAAATAAATAAATAAATTGCATACTGTGCTGTAGTGGGACGAGAATGGTACCATTCACATAGTGAGCAGCTCTTATAGTAGGTTTCTTTATATCAAGACAATTGCCCTCAGGGGCAATGTGTCCATGTTAGGCTAAATAAAAAGTGGTTCAATGGTACTCCATAAACTGAAACACAGAGTAATGATCAGATAAAGTCATCATAGCAGTTCCAGCCAGGGAGTTGCTTATAGCCACCCATTCTGGCCTAACATAGCCTAGCTTAAATGTGTACCTGTTGTTTGCACAGGCTCGTTGAGAACAGACATAATATAGTGTAGACTTGCAGGACGGAGAGCCTGTATGACCTTCCAAGGCATATGTTAGCCAAAACTAAAATGTTATCATGATACTTTCTTGAATGCTGGCTTTTGACGTAGCACACTGTGTAACATTTATGGAGCTTTTAATTGCGTAAACTTTCCTGTACACGTGCATTGACTTGAATAGAAACGAAAATTCTCGAATAAAGTCGTCTGTACTATGTATGTAGAGAACTTTTTCAAAAATTAATTTCCTTGTAGGAATTTTTCTTTGAAGAAGAAAATCATTGAAATAGGTGGATCAACCCATTTTCTCAACAACAACCAAATGGTGAAACAATCAAAGAATAAGTTGCTTCATTTTTTTAATACTTAGCACAAAACTGATCTTTGGCTGTGTGGTTGTAAGATATATTTATTATTGTATTTTTGGCCTTGTCTTTGTTTTTCAACTGAAAAAATATTTTGACAACAAACTGAGTTAGCGAAATTTTTCTGTGTCAGAAAAGACGGGCAAGGACTCTCAATAAATCATTCTCAAACTGCAGATTCTTTTAACCTAGAATATAAAACAGCCAGTTACAATGGCGCTCCATATACATCAGTATAATTGCATTTTGAGCCTACCATATAAACTCCTCAAAGGGAAACATAGTCATGCAAGAAAGCCCATTGTAATGGATATATGAGACCCTCCATACCAGCCAATTAAGAGTATGTTTCTCCAAAATATTGGTATCTGCTTACAGGCCCAGAAGACCAACATAAACATTTTCACTTCAATGAGAACCATAACCTCATAGTGTATGTATCTCATTCACTCAAATATGCATTTATATTGTCTTGATCACAAAATATTTAGGCAGAGGTTATATAACTTAAAACTGATTAATATTTTATACCTGGTTCTCCCAATAAATGTACATCAAGGAAAGAATGATGGCTGTGACCTTATGTATAAATGAAGAACAAGTATTGCCAGTAATCAAAGTGTGTTGAGCACATTCAAGTATGTTCATGGTCTGTGGAAGTTCTTGAACTTGATGATGGTGAGTCTTAATATTATTGTTATATTTTTTATACAAACTCCAGCATTCTTTGTTTTATGATTAGCATTTAAACTCCTTATTATAGTTATGTAATAGTGATTTATTTAGTTATTACAGTTCAGTTAGCAGTAACTGGCTATATCAGAATTCTAGAGCAGGACACAAAAAGGAAGTTATAAACCAAGTGATCGAAAGTGTGCTGATTAAGTTACTGAGTTTGGAGGTGATTATGATCACCTTTTTTGCTCCTGAAAATATATGTTTCACATTTTTAAATATGAATTGCTTGTAGTTCATAAAGTTCGTGAATTTTCTACCTTCTGTGACTCTGAATGGAAGGTTTTTAATTTTGTCATTTTGTTTTGAATCAACTGCTTTAATTTTATTTCACTTTTAAATACTTAAGAATTTGACTATAGTTTTGCAAATTATATTCAGTTTAAGTAAATAAAAGCAAAAATGTACTAAGCATCTTTTATTTGTATTGCACACAGGTAGATTCAAGTCATACAGTGACAGAGTAAATCCCAAAGTATCAGTTAGATTTTTATTTAAATGTGATTGGCCTACTTAATTTTTCTTAAATTGTTTTAGAAATGCAATACTTAATAGTGTAGAAAAGAATAGCAGAATTTATTGATTGAAACAAATAAAAAGAGTTTACTGAAATAAGTAGTTTCAGTCCTCAAACTTGTGATATACAGTGGAAAATTAATATTTATGTATCATCAGCAACTTCAGCATACATAACCACTGAAATTTATCAAATTCTGTGTAAAAGGAGTATATATTTATATGAAATCAATTAACTTTGTGCATTTAATTTCTTCATGTGTTCTATATTAAATTGAGGTTTCAAGATTTACAATTAATTCTTTGAAATTCACAACCTGTTTACTTGTGAGATTTGGATTATAGCAACAAAAGAAGTTCTGCAATAATTGTGGAAGTCATCTGGCACTTGGTACAATCACCATGCAGAAGGATACAAGATTTTATATGCACTGTCAACTGAAACAAATGGTAGCTTTTATTTGCATATTTAGTCAATAAGAAAACACCACTTTTAAAATATTGTATTTACTGTAAAATAAATATAAGTGAAACTCTTTAATTTCAATTGTCAAAACACTTAAGTATTATTGTATTTATGTATTTCATAGTAAAACTTATTTCTTTTGTAAATTAGAGTAAAGATACATAGTCATAGCAGCTTTCCAAATAAGTTAAAATTTTTTTACTAATATCTGTTGGAACATATCAGAGTAAAATATTATTTGTGGCATTGTTCATTACATTTATTTTTACACTTTAACATTAAAATATGTTTTCTTATGCTTTTTTGTAGTTATGCATCTAAGTTACTGAAGGTTTTGCAAGGCTGTGTGTTAGTTCATGCTTGCCACTTTGCTGTACTTCACAACATAACACAAACATATTATACAGTAACTTGCTTTAGAAATTTCCTAGAGGCTACTGAAGCTTTTCATTTGAAATTTGATTTATTTATGATTTGTGGTGGGACATAAGCATGATGATGATCTTCTCTTTATTATTGGTAATTTATCTTCACGCATTGGTACTATTAAAATAAAATAGTTTTAATATTCTGTAAATGTCAATCCTGAATACTGCTTTATCATTCTAGCCAAACTAGCATCTAGTCATGTCAAAGTGCATGAATCATGCTTGATTTATGTATTGTGTTGAGAATGAAAATTGGTAAAGGAGTTTTGGAAAATATGGAGAAATTATCTTTAATCTGGATGTTGAGTTAATGTCATGATATGTAATTTAGTACTCAGTGGACAGAATAGTATACCATTATAATAGAGTTACATGTTGAAGGAAGTACATACGGTATTTAGTTAAAAATGTATAATGCATGATCAGTCCTGTAGTGAAAAGTAACTTTTGATGGTATGGGAAGGGCTGCATTCCCTGTTCTTGAATAATGCTACCACTAATTGCTATTCTTTGGTGACCAAAAGTTTTTTTTAAGAGCTTGTGACATTGTTTAACTTTGTGTACAAAGTCCTTCACATGCTATTGGTTATTGTAAATTATATTTTTAAAATGTGGTGTTTCAGTATGTGAAAACTGACCATGTGTAAAATAACTGGACAAAATGCATCATTTGAATAAGAATATAACATCTGTTTATGAAAGTTATTAAACTATAATGTGTTCTGTGTAATTTTGATTTATTTTGAATTTTGTGTACTATGTATACACAGAAATTTATAAAATGACATTTTCAACTCAAATAAAAAATTGCTAACCTGTGGTTTATAATATTATTTATGCCACAATTATTAAGTACATGTTAAAATAATATAAAAAAGGTATTGATTAGGAAAAATGATGCATGATGCGTCAAGATTAATTTCTGTAAAAAGGGCAGAATATTTACTGTATTTTTGTTATAATTTTATTCCCTGTTTTGTTGAGATTAGTGTTTTTACTTTATGCAAAATTTGCCGTTGGCAGTCGTGTGCACCAACCGCTATTCATGCTTGTTCATAGATGGCAGTTCAGGCGAAATAGGTTTCGACGGAAAGAGACGAAGTTCACATCTGTGTCATCGATATCTTTGTATATCGTAGCGTTGGAAGCTGAAAAGTAATATTGCTAAATAGACATGGATTCCTTAGAGGCAGAGTTAATTCACAATGAAAAGGAAATAAATTTAGTTGATTTGAAGTCTGCTAACCAAATAAGAAACAAAACTCTCCGTCGAGCACAGGTTCTAAAAGACAAACGCCTGAAGAGTAAGGTATGTGTGATAAAAGTAACATAACCTACAGATTCTCATGTTCCTGCGGAGGTCCAGGCTCATTGTAGTAGAATTAAAGTATTTCTTTTTCAGTTTGTAAGCGATTATTTTAGCCTTAATTATAGTATCGGTTGTAGTTCTGTTGCATAATACTTCTCTGAGACTATTTCATGTTTCCTTATATGAGGGGACAAAGCCTGACTACATACAGGACCCACACACTTGTGTTCGTCTTTGGTTGTCATGGACAAAACCAGTTTGTTGAAAAACTAATTCATTTGTCATTATGATAATGTAGAACGCTATTGTAAATGGAAGAATAACCTTCAAATTTATGTTTAAAAGTGTGCATTGGATTGAAGTTCTTCAGGATAGGGACAAATGGAGGTTTTTGTAAATATGTTTGTGAAATTTCATAAGTGTACATGTGTTATTATATTTTGTTTAAACAGCTAAAAAAGGAAGAACGGAAAAAGAAAAATGATTCAGGAACACAAAAGAATGTTCCAAAAACTATTGACAGTATGCGAGAGAAGGATCACACAATGTTAGTATATATGGATGAGGAAGATCAATTGGAACTGAACTTGGAACTGGACAGAGATGAGTTAAGCAGCTACTTCCAGAAGACATATGAGCCCAAAGTTCTTATTACATTTTCTGATAACCCACACCAGGTAAATGTTCTTGTTTTTGTTGTTTTCTTGTTACTGTCACTATTATGTTAATTATTTTCTTTTAAAGGTCTTGACCCAGAAATCTGATATGTTTTTTTAACTTTTACTTCTGCTCTGGGCAGATGTTCAGGTAGTGCGTTAAAGAAAGTTTTGATTGTTTCCTTTTATGTCCATTCCTATTCACCATTAGCAGTCATCCTGATTTCTGGAGAATATGTCAGTGAGTACTCATCAGAATAAATGCATTCAGCAGATTGGAAATAGGTTTCAAGCTCTACCTATGAGCTTCCCATATTGCTATTTGTAATCATTGTATTAGCTGTTATTGTTTATAATCATCAAGGTGAATGTGTGTTTAGTGAAACTGCCAAAACAGCCCGGCAGCACAACCAATGGTTATTGTAAACAAAGTTGCAGAATCTTGGTGCAAAATGTGGATACTCTTGTGAAAATTTGACATTTCATAATATCAGTTATAAAATGTGCTCCATTTTGTGTATGTTTTTGATCTATGTAAACATCCAGAGATGGTCACAGTAAGATTAAGAACAGTAATTCCACAGAACTAATAAACTTTACATTTGCCACTGTATTACAGCTGGAAGTAACGTAGGGATTACAACGATCTATAATATTTCCGTAATTTTCAGAAATGTCGCATATTTGGACGCGAGCTTACTCGTATCATCCCAAACTCTGTCTCTCTTTACCGGAGTAGATCAGGTGTCAAGAAAATGGTGCAGAGTGCTATTGGTAAAGGTTTTACTGATATTATTGTCATCAATGAGGACAGGTGCCAGCCAAGTATCCTTTAAATCTTACATTGAAAATGAAGAAAAGTCCATGCATTCCTAACCTTACTTGTCAGATGGTTTTTGCCTGAAACAGTATAAAAATTTAATTATCCTTTTTATATTTTAGTGTGATTTGTGTTCTGGAGAGTTTTATTCTGAGGTCCTTTATTTATTGTAATATTATGAAGCAATATATGTAAGAACTACAGGAAATAGTATAGAAAGTTCCAAGCTGTTCATCGACAAAATGTTTGTTTTTGGAAAACATGTCTATGAAATAATCCTAAAATCAATATTTTTGCTTGGTTCTTCTTTTTTCATAAGTGATAACTGATTGTGTGTTTTTATTTATATTTATCAGCTGCTTTCTTTTAACTTTTAATTTTGTTTTATTTGATCGTGTTATTTCCATATAAGTGATAATTCCTTAACGTTTGTATAGATGGTTTGTTAGTTATTCATTTACCAGAAGGGCCTACAGCTCATTTTCGTCTGAGTAATGTAAAACTGACGCCTGAGTTGAAGGTATGTAAACACAGTTGCTTTGTATCTGTTCAAAGAAATGTATCTTTCTTACAAAGTATATGTTGAAATGCCACTATGCCTTATAGCTGTACATTCTGCCAAATGAATATCAGTATCGTTGGCTAATATGAGTCTTGTGTTTATTAGCGAAATTACAAGGAAATCTCAGAGCATCGTCCAGAAGTGATCCTCAACAATTTCAATACCCACCTAGGTAACACGGTGTCCCGGATGCTAGCGGCACTTTTCCATTATGAACCAGAATTCAAGGGCCGTCGTGCCGTAACATTCCATAATCAGAGAGACTACATCTTCTTCAGACACCACAGGTTTGTCTGTTGTGAAAACTGTTTGTTTATTGTTGTTGTTGTTTCCCCGCCCCCCCCAATGCATCATTTGCTCCATATTCTATATTACTTTTGTTCAGAGCAAAAGAGCAAAGTGTAGTAAATTTCCAACACTATTTATTTTTAATGTCTTCACACCTTCTTCTTCTATGGCTCACCGGTCCGTGTTTGGTCCACAGCTTCCTCAATTCTCCTCTTTATTCGGTCCTTTGTTAGGTCCATTGTGTCCGAGGCTTTGACTGAAGTTTCGAAACATCTTCCTTTTTATGGTGCAAGGTTGTTAGCCTTGCAACCAACCCCCAACCTGGAGAACCAGGGTACCTGTCTTAGTCTGACCTCTCCCCCTCGACCAATCTGGCTAGGGAGGCCCTACCAGTAGCTATGCTACCGCCAACATAGCTCTTGGGGTCACTTGGGGTACTTAAGCTCCACCACCACGACAAGGTGATGTCTTCACACCTGTTTTCAATATTTTCATAATTCTTACTAGTATTCACTATGAATATATCTTCAAAATCGTACCCACGTAATAAATTATCGAAAATATAATTTTTGTAGAGAGGATGTTAATCACATTTCCCTACGCTGCTCACTCTACTGTAAATATGAAATGGTATTGTACTTATTTTTTGGACACTTCATAACTTTCTCCCCGCATCTGAATATCAAGTGGGTAAAATAGACTGCTAAGCGAACTTCTTAGCCTGAAATTTGTGGCTTACAGTTATATCAGATTACCATTTCTCATCAAGCGATGTTATCAGCCAATTAGAGAAACAAAATGATTTAATAAGGACATGATTAAAACTGCTGTGGGATATTTGGCAACGGTGTTATATTTCTGACTAGAAATTCTATTTGTAATAAGCATGAAAAAATATTTGTTTTCTCAAATTAGCGTATGTGGGATGGATCTATTCAATGATGCATTTATGTTTATTCCACATATAATTTTTTTGCAATTTTTGTATGTAGTGTCAAATACATAATTTTGATATTTTTTTCTAGGTATGAATTCACCTCTAATGGAAAAGCAAAACTGCGAGAGTTAGGGCCACGGTTCACACTGAAGTTGAGATCACTGCAACATGGAACGTTTGATTCAAAAACTGGTGATTATGAGTGGATCATTACTGACAAACGTCACGATCTGGAGACAAGCAGACGCAGATTTTATTTGTGATTTCCAAATTTTTATCTTGTGCACTATCACTGTTAATTTAATAAAGTTTCAGTGTTAATATAGCCATGATGGCATGATATCTGAAGGATGTCAGGCATAGTATTGTTTTTTAATTGAAAGAAAGATGGCAGCAGTCACCATTTGACTAGGACTGGTTGACTTTGCCCTCAGCCATATGCAACATTTACTGTGGCTTCCAATACTAAATTCCATTAAAATCCAATTACTTGTTACTGAATGGATATCACATCCCCATTATTTGTTAATTTCATGCATTTTGTGTGATGAGGTCATAGAAAGTACAAATGTGTGCTGTATGATGCTTGTACCAAATCTAATGAACATTTGTCAATTCATTTGTTATTAGTGGTAACAGTCATGAATGATACAGTCATCTAGAAGAATTGAATTTGCTCCCCGAGTCAGTTGCATTCCGTCACGTCTCACATATATGACTTTGTGTACAGTAAATCCTAGTATGGGTCATATTTGTTCTCATGTATTTTTGTTGCTTCTTTGCTACGGAATGCATTATACAGTGCAACATAGCAACATCAAAAATGTTAACTACTGTGTGAAGCCTGTCTCTGTCCTGCCACATACAGTCTCTTCTAGACCCGTACTCTGCCTGACAGACTATGCAAAACACGGTCTCTCAGTCACCTGGTCTCGTACAGTCTAGGTCTTTGCAGACCAAGTCCAGTAGAGACTGCGTCCTTCAGAGGGCCTGTGTGTCAGAGACCATGTGCGGCAGACACCGATTGTAGTAGTAACGGGTGCGGAGAATTTTGAAAAAAAATACAAATTTTCCACAATTTTAAAAAAATCTAAAAATGCTGAAAATTGTCCAAATGGTGCACAATTTTTTTTTTAAATTTTCAACTTCAAAAATTTATAAAAAAAAATTGGTTTTGTGCACTCATTAGACAATTTCCAGCATTTTTTCGTTTTTTGAAAATTTTGAACAATTTTCATACTTTTTCCCATCCAATCATCAACAGAACACTTCAGCTAGTGTCTGTACATCCAAACTTGGTCTCTGCTAGAATCGGACTCTGCCACACACAGACTCTGCAAGACACGGTCTCTGCATCAGCCGGACACAGTCTCTGCCTCACAAGAACATGTCTCTGATAGTCTATTTCATGCTACATCCAGTCTCATTTAGACCGGGACTCTGCCTCTCTCAGACTATACAAGACACGGTCTCTACATCGTCCGCTCTTTGCCGGATGCAGTCTCTGAATCACTGTCTCTTCCCGTCTAGGTTTTTGAAGACACATCAGAGACGGTAATACTCAGACCGTATTGTGCAGAGACAGTCCAGTAGAGACCGCGTCCTTCAGAGTGTGTCAGGGACAGAGAGAATGTTGAAAAAAATTTCAAATCTTCCAAAATTTTCGAAAAATCACAAAATGCTGGAAATTGTCTAAAAAGTGCACAAAAACAAAAATTTTCGAAATTCTTGAAAAAATTTTGAAGTTGAAAATTCTCAAACATTTTTTGGACGGGAGATCGTAGACCCCTCTGGCGTCCGAAGAATGACAGTTCGGATCCTTCCATCCCTTCCTTCTGGAAGTTCTTCTATACGCGCCTTCTTCCACATGTGACGTGGGCGCGTATCCTCCTGAGGTACGACGTCCCCTAGTCTGAGGCTCGACAAACCTCTCTGCAGCTGGCGGACATCATGGAAACTCCTCAACTGAGTTAGGTATTCCCTCTTCCATCTTCTCCAGAAGTCTCTCATAGCCCTTTGTTGTCGTCTGAATTCCTTCGCTAAATCCCTTCTAGCTACCGGCTCTGGCCCTGTTGGAAACATAGTGAGGCGTTCCCTGACGAGAAAGTGCGCAGGCGTCAGTACGTCAGGATTTACCTCGTCCTGCGATATTGGTCTGGAGTTCAGTGCAGCTTCTATGCTAACCAAGATGGTGTTGAGGCCTTCTTCATCCACCTGCGACCGTCCCTACACCTTTCGCAGGCACGATGTGGTCTTTGTATTACCGTCTCTGACGTGTCGTCTGCAAAGACAATGACCGGAAGAGAACGGGTGATGCAGATACCGTGTCTTGGAGAGTCTATCAGGCAGAGTGCGGGTCTCGAAGAGACCGGATGTGGAGGACAGAAACCAGCAGAGACGTGTTCTGGTAAGGTAGAGAGTGCGTCCGGTAGAAACCGTGTCATGCAGACTCTATGTGAGGCAGATACCGGGTCTCGAAGAGACTGGATGTGACAGGACACAGACTCTGCAAGACACGGTCTCTGCATTACCCGTTTTCTGCCGGACGCAGTCTCTGCCTCACCAAAACACGTCTCTGCTAGTCTCTGTCCTGCCACATCCGGTCTCTTCGAGAACCGGACTCTCCCTCACACAGACTATGCAAGACACGTTCTCTGCTGGCCTTGCCTCGCGTTGCCTGGCCTTGTTTCGCCTTCCCTAGTGTCGCCTCGCCTTGCCTCAACTTAAATCGCCTTGCCTTGCTTTGCCTGGCCCCGCCTTGCCTCGAATTTCCTCGCCTTCGCACGCCTGGAATTGGCTAACGTTGCCTGGCCTTGCCACACTTGCCTGCCCTCGCTTTGTCTCGACTTGCCTCACCTTGCTTTGCCTCGCTTGGCGTTACCTGGCCTCGACTGGCTTAGCCGTGACTCGCTTCGCCTTGCCTTGGCTCGCCTCTCCTCGCCTTTCCTTGCCTTGCTTGCGTTGCCTGGATGTGCCTGACCTTGCCTAGCTTTACCTGTCCTAGCGTGGCCTTGACTGACCTTTGGCTTTGGCTGGAATTGCCTGGCCTTGCCTCGCTTGGCGTGTCCTCGCTTTGTCTCGCCTTCCCTCGTCATGCTCTCCTTGTCTCGCCTAGCCTTTCCTTGCCTTGCCTGACATGCCTCGCTTTGCCTGGCCTCGGATTGCCTCGACTTGGCTCGCCTTACCTGGCCTTGCCTCTTCTGTTCTAGCCTCGCATTGACTCAAGTGGCCTCGCATTGCCTCGAATGGTCTCGACTGGCCGCGCCTTGACTCACCTTTCCTCGCCTAGCCCTACCTTGCCTGGCCTGGCCTCTCCTACAGTCGCCTGGCCTTGCCTAGCCTGGCCTCTCCTTGCTTCGCCTTCCCTCGCCTCTCCTTGCCTCGCTTGTCCTCACCTTGCCTCCCCTTCCTTTGCCTTGCATCGCCTTAAATCGCTTTGCCTTGCCTAGCATCACCTTGCCTCAACTAGTTTCGCCTTGCCTCGCCTGGCGTCTCCCGGCCTCGCCTTGCCACGCCAAACTTCAGCTGGCCTTTCCTGGCCTCGCCTTGCTTAGCCTGGCCTTGCCTGAATTTGCTTTGCATTGCCTTGCATCGCCTCGCCTGGCATCTCCTGGATTCGCCTTGCATTGTCTAGCCTTGCCTGGCCTCGCCTTGCCTTGCCTGAATTTAATTGCATTGCCTGGCCTTACCTCGCTTTGCCTGGCCTCGCCGTTCTTTGAATTGTATCGACTTGCCTCGCTTGCCAAGCCTTGCATCGCTTTGTCTCGCCTTGCATCGACTTCCTCGCATCGCGTTATCTCGCCTTCCATCGGCTTGCCTCGCCTTGTCTAGCCTTGTATATCCTTGCCTCGCTTTTCCTCGTCTCGCCTTTTCTAGCCATGCATGGCCATGCCTCGCCTTGAATCGCCTTGCCTGGCCTTGCTTCGCTTTGCCTGGCCACGCCTTGCTTCGCCTTGTCTCGCCTTGCATCGACTTACCTCGCCTTGTTTAGCCATGCATATCCTTGCCTCGCCTTGTCTAGCCTTGCATATACTTGCATCGACTCGCCTAGCCTTGCATGGCCTTCCCTCGCCTTGCATTGCCTTTCCTGGCTTGCCTCACCTTGACTGACTTGCCTGGCCTCGCCTTGCCTCGAATTGCCTCGCTTTCCACGCCTTGCGTAGCCTTGCATAAGCCTGGTCTCGCCTTGTCTAGATACAGGTCGTAAAAAACTGTTAGAAGTTGTGGTTCATAACGTTGAAGGGAAATATTTCCAATTATCATAAACATGTATATTTAGGATAGATATTCATTGCTTTAAATTAGCACTATTGTCCGATTAATATTATATAAGATACAAGTAGTTTAGTGTGTTGTCATATCTTGTATAGCCTTGCATATCCTTGCCTAGCCTTGCATATCCTTGCCTCGCATCGACTCACCTTGCCTCGCTGCCTGGCTTGCCACGCCTTGCATCGCCTTGTCTCGCATTACCTCGCCTTGCCTCGATTTGCAACGCCTCGCCTCGCCTAGCCTGGCTTGCCTCGATTTGCCTCGCTTGCCACGCATTGCATCGCCTTGTCTCGCATTGCCTCGCTTCGAATCGCGTTGTCTCGCCTTGCATCGACTCGCCTCGCCTAGCTTTGCATGGCCTTGCCTCTCCTTCCCTCGCCTTGCCTAGCCTTTCCTCGCCTTGTCCTTGCATATCCTTGCCTCGCCTTACCTCACCTTGCCTCGCCTGGCTCCGCCTTCCCTCGCATTGCATCGCCTTGCCTCGCATTGCATCGCCTTGCCTCGCCTTCCCTTGCCTTGCCTCGCCTTGGTTAGCCTTGGTTCGCCATCCCTCGACAAGCCTTGCTTACCCTCGCCTGGCCTCGTTTGGCATCTCGTCACGTCGCCTGGCCTTGCCTATCCTGGCTTTGCCTTGCCTCGCCTTGCCTAGACTTGCATACCCTTGCCTCGCCTTGCATCGATTGCCTCGCCTTACCGGGCTTGCCTCCATTTGCTCGCTTTGCCTGGCATCGCCTTGCCTAGCCTTGCATCGCCTTGCCTCGCCTTACATCGCCTTGCCTCGCCTTACATCGCCTAGCCTCGCTTTGTCTAGACTTGCATATCTTTACCTCGCCTACCATCGAGTTTATTCGCCATCCATCGACTTGACTCGCCACGCCTAACCTTACATGGCCTTGCCTCGCCTTGAATTGCCTTGCCTTCACAAGTCACTCGTCCCAAGTATTGAGA